GCGAATAATTGCTAATGCTTTTTATCACGGTATACGGTATTATCACGATATTGAAATTTAGTTGCAAAAACGTGTTGGCATAATACAGTATAACAGGTTTAATAACTTTTTTCTTATAACAAAAATAACTGAACATTTAAATACAATAAAGCAATACACAAAATGTATAAAGTAAAAATTTTTACACAGATTAAAGTGCAAAAGAATTATAAAGACCAATAGGTATCACTTTACAAAATGCATTAACTAAGGTTAGATCTTAAACATTCGTAATGAGCAATAGCTACATTTGCTACAGAAGTTATTAATCTTTGTTAAAAAAAAAAAAATACAAGTCTCGGTTCATGTTCGCTCATTAAATAACACGATTGCAACTTTTGATTTTAACAACGTGTTATTAAATATTGGATTTACCTAAGATTAATGACTGTTCAGAAGAATTTTTATTGGCGGTTTATGTTAACTAACGAAGCCCTAATGTAAAGCGTGACCGAACAATAACGAATCAAAACACTTTCAAACAATATCTAGGGCATGTTGTAGACTAGTCTGGATTAAAATGTAACAAAGTTTGAACGTAAATAGCCTATTAAGTCTAAATATGTAAGTATTTGGCGCTGTGATGAACATCATAGCGAACGCAAAAATCTGAATGGCTGTTTAAATAATTTAAACATGTTTCAGAAACAGAAAGCAGGGCAGGCACACACTGGTCAAGTGAAAGATTTATTTTTCTTTATTGATCAAAAACTACAAGCTCTATGTCGATCATCTATTATGTTTTGGTTGTGGTATCGGTTCAGTAGTAGTATTAAGCTATTTTAGTCAGGTATCGTGTCAAAGTTGTGGTATTGTGACAACACTAGCGGTATTTAAATTTGTTATATTTTAATTACCTTAGCTATTTCAAGCAAAAATGATCATAATATATATTGTTATTGTGAGATTAAATCACTCGTCCAGCTCTACTAACCATTTAATCAAAATGTGATGCATGTCGCTAAACTTCCTTAAAGGGACAGTTCACCCAAAAATGAAAATTCTGGCAACCCACCAGCTGACGGTCGCCTTTGACTTCCATAGTATTATTTTTTTCTCCATACTATGGAAGTCAAAGGCGACCGTCAACTGTTTGGTTACCAACTGTCTTCAAAATACATTATTTTGTGCTCAACAGAAGATGAAACTCCTACAGTTTTGGAATAACATGAGGGTGAGTAAAGTGAGTTTTTGGGTGAACTGTACCTTTAAGACGATGCTTAAATAGACTAGGAGGTACTTGAGCACTTTGATTGAAGGTAGTGCTTGACCTGTACCACTTTCTTGCTTCACCAACAGTTTTTAATAATTGAATGTTAATTGCAGGCCTGACGGAAGTGAAAGAGGAGAGTCAAGTCCTGAATAAAGTTGAAGACAACCGCTATTTTCAGACACTTGAAACTGAACCAAACTCTCAGCCTGCAAATCTCTCACCAAAACGACACGTTAAAAATCGTGCCAGAAAGAAGCCTTTAACATGCGATCATTGCGGAAAGAGTTTCAGTCATAAAGGACACCTTAATATTCACACGAGGAGTCACACTGGAGAGAAGCCGTTTGCGTGTGATCAGTGTGGAAAGAGGTTTATTCATAGAGGACACCTTAACGAACACTTGAGGATTCACACCGGAGAGAAGCCTTACACATGCACTCACTGTGGAAAGTGTTTCACACATAAAGCAAGCCTGACATGGCACATGAGAACTCACTCTAAAGAAAGCCCTTTAACTTGCTGTCAGTGTGGAAAAGGTTTCACACAGCAAGATAAACTCAAGTGTCACATGAAAATCCACACTAAAAAGAATCCGTTTACATGCCCTCAGTGTGGAAAGAGTTTCGTTCATAAAGGACACCTTAATGATCACTTACGAGTTCACACTGGCGAAAAACCGTTCACATGTCATCTGTGTGGAAAGAGTTACCGACTCAAAGGATACTTTAATGTTCACCTGAGAATCCACTCTGGAGAGAAGCCGTATGCGTGTGATCAGTGTGGAAAGAGCTTCATTAATAAAGGACACCTTAATGAACACTCAAGAGTTCACACTGGAGAAAAGCCTTTCAAATGCACTCCCTGTGGACAGAGTTTCACACATAAAGGAAGCCTAAGGTTGCACATTAAAAAGTATCACACTGAAGATGATAGATGCCTTAAGCGTCACGCGACCGGCCTAAAATGCCCTCAATGTGAAAAGGGTTTCAAACATAAAGGACACTTTATGAATCATATAAGAACTCACATAGCCTTGAGCCTAAAGACACACTTAAAATGACTCGAAATTAAGCATAAATAAACCCTTTGAACTGCACATGAATGCATAACCTGTCTGGTTTGGCTTGCTAATAAGACAAATATATAAAGGCAAATTTTTTTACGAAGGTTTATGGAATGCTTTCTGTAAAGCTGCACTGAAACAATGTACATTGTTTTTGGTATATAAGTGAAACATGTGAATAAAACGGGTGACAGATACATCTTTTTCTCTTTGCGTTTAAACTCTTTTTGTTGCTGGGCTGCCAACAGGTTAAAATGATATTAACAGATTAACAGGGTTTTTGTACTGTAGTTAATGCATCCACAGTAGAAAACTATCGGTTTGTTTTAAGAGAAAAATACGTATGCAGGAGTTGTGTGCATGAAACAATTCGTTTTCAATTACACGTTTAGTAAATTATGCGTTCACATTTTTGACTGCTTGGTCCAAATGATTCGATTGCTCTCCTCGAGCCGCTGGATTCCACCAATATTTGGCATTTATTTTTTTATTATTATTAAAGGAATAGTTTAATGACGGTAGCCAATGCCATTGCCTTCAATAGTTTAGTTACCAACATTCTTCAAAATACACTGCTCAAAAAAATTAAAGGAACACTATGAAAACACATCAGATCTCAATGGGGGAAAATATCATGCTGGATATCTACACTGGTATGGACTGGGTAATGTGTTAGGAACGAAAGGATGCCACATCGTTTGATGGAAATGAAAATGGTCAACCTACAGAGGGCTGAATTCAAAGACACCCCGGAAATCAAAGTGAAAAAACGATGCAGCAAGCTAGTCCATTTTGCTGAAATTTCATTGCAGCAACTCAAAATGGTACTCAGTAGTTTGTATGGCCCCCATGTGCTTGTATGCATGCCTGACAACTTCGGGGCATGCTCCTAATGAGACGACGGATGGTGTCCTGGGATATATCCTCCCAGATCTGGACCAGGGCATCACTGAGCTCCTGGATAGTCGTTGGAGGACTGTTGGATGGACCGAAACACAAGAGGTGTCCCAGAGGTGTTCTATTGGATTTAGGTCAGGCGAGTGTGGGAGCCATTCAATGGTATCAATTCCTTCATCCTCCAGGAACTGCCTGCATACTCTCTCCACATGAGGCCGGGCATTGAACCCAGGACCCACTGCACCAGCGTAGGGTCTGACAATAGGGCCTTTCGCACTGCTGGAACCTTTTCATAGTACCAGAACTAATTGTGGAACTACCCACTTTTTGGCGTTTTCGCACCGCCGGAACTGGGTGCGATTTTAGTACCGGACTGCCTTTTTCGAGAACCAAATTAGCTCCTACTCCGGAGCAGGGTCTAACCAGCACAACTGGTACTAATCGTGACGAAATAGCTTGCGCAAAATCGTCCCAGTACTTTAGTACTGTACCTTTAGTTCTGGAACTAAAGCGGTGCGAAAGGCCCTAATGGGTCCAAGTGTTTCATCCCGATACCTAATAGCAGTCAGGGTGCCATTGTCTAGCCCAGAGGTTCTCAATCCGCGGCCCGTCACGAATTCAAATGCGGCCCGCTGAACACAATTTAAAAACTAACTTTCAGTTTTACAATCCATTTTAGTTTTTACATAAATTTAAAAATGTGCTAAAATATAAGCTATAAAGTTTTTATGTAAAGTAATTTAGTTTTTCATATATTATTTTCAGACATGAGCAGACCTGCTACTCACGTAATTAACGTTACGCATTTAACGAGCACTTACAAGCGCGCGCTTCAATTCAAATAGTCATCAGCAGCCATTAGTTCGGTAAGATTGAGTATCAATCGCAACTTCATTGTGCTGTTACTCCTTTCGAGCCGAATTTCACAAAATTGGTCCGCTACCGACAGCATCAGGTGTCTTATTAATGGTGAGTAGAATTATTTATTTCAATGAATGTAATCAATTAGATATCATAATACTTAGGCTATAATATTAGCCTATAAATCTGGTTGGTTTGGATTGGTGACGTAATATATAAACGATATGCGGCCCGTGAGACTTGCACTTGGACCATAGTGCGGCCCAGTGGAAAAAAAGGTTGAGAACCACTGTCCTAAGAAGTCGTCGTCTTCGCTGTCGTCTTTCAGATTCATTACGGAGTATGAATAGGTATGACAAAGTAAAGAGGCTCTGTCATTTTTATACTTTAATGTTACCTCAGGAGTGTTGCGCGTAAAGAAAGCGCCAGGAGATGAGATCTCTATACATGGATTAAAAACACATGTACACTTAGTTCAACAAATAAAAGTTGATTTTCTTATTGCATGACAGTTACAGTAGAGCTTCAGATCTGCTAATAATCAATTAATAGTTTCAATTGGCAATTAAATATATAAGCACATAATAAACATATATAATTTCATTTAATTTATAAAACAGGTAATGCTTGTTTTGTATATCTATAGTATAAATATTTTAAATTTGATAGTATAGTCAATATTTATTAACGTTCTATCATAATCTGCGTGACCCTGCCGTTGGTTTTGTTTGATGAGGTTGCAGGGCGTTCCGAATGAGCGATTATTGTCAGCGAAGTCCACTTCAACGGATATCACGTGCTTAGGGAGCAGTGCACACTGCATAGGGACCGACCCTGTCAATGGGAACGCTCCTTTAGAAACGAAACCGTTAGACTGACGTCTTTTATTTTGCCTTGCGGAACCGCTCTGACGTCATTACGCAGGCGCCGGGACTCCTCCCTCTATGGTTCTCGTTGTTGGACAAAGGTTTTTGTTTCGAGATATTCAGCGTTTAAGGTGTGTAAAACTTCCATTTTTGTTGAGTTATTTTCAAGTAATGCATTCCACATGGTACTAATTTTGCGTTGGTTGTTAATGTAAAATGAATGTATTCAGCGTGATAATGTAATGCTTTGTGTGCCGTTAGTAAATGGCGCCAAAATGTGCGCGTGTTATTAACGCGCGAGGAACAGAGTGATTTACTTTGCTCTTTATTTCTTTCTATTAACTATTCCAGTCATCTTAAACGTGACACAGAAGTGTTTGAGAAAAGTAGAAGATAACTCTTCATGTCATGGAGTTTATTAAAGACGAGCCTGAAGACTGGACTGATCCAGAGCCCCGCAGAGTGAAAGATGAAGAAACTGAGGAACTAATAGGTTGGTTTTCAAAACAATTAAATACAATTTGCGTATTATTTCTCATAATGTGTCTTAGGCCAGAAAAAGAGCAAACTACTCAAAGATTGTTTAATGCACCAGATGTAACTTGAAAGGAAACATAGTAAATGCATGTATTTGCAGGTTATTAGGAATACAGTATATATGTAAATGTCCAACGAAACAATGTTTATATTAAAGGCAGTGAGATCAAAAAAGTGAATGTAAACCTAGACTATTATATATATTACGTGCAAAAAAAATGGTTAAAATCACATTACATTCTAACATTGTACGATTGCAATCTAAAAACAAAAATAATGCATTTTAAAGCAGAAGATAAATTCACTAAACTGAAAATAAAATTAAATAAATTAAAATAAACGCACAGGCTAATTGTATTAGGCTATTTTGATTTCCCCATTACAGTCACTTTGTGGTTAATGCTATCATAAATATACACTTGCAGGTTTAAAATTCTACACATGGCACATTTATTGTGCAAGTACAAATATTTCAGGAAAACGTATATTTTAGTCACAATTATTGCGATCTTTTTCTATTGCACTCTGTCGGTTTAGTGCGCATTTGGTGGTTGTTCACTGAAGTCTATGAAGTTTAGCAGAGAATTGCATGTAGAAAGGCTCTTGCACTCCTGACAGCAAAATAGAAATATTTCTATGACTTTCTAATAGGGTTGGGCAATATGACCAATATTTTATATCACGTTATGAGTAATTTTATTTCATGGTAACAATATATATCACAATATGGTTACTTTTGCTTTAAATAAGGATATCAAAAATTGTTATACCATAGAAATTTCATAATTCTTGTCACCAGTGTCAATATCACAAAAAAACTAATACTAGCCTAAATAAAAAAAAAAAATTAAAAAAAAATTCTCAAGCTCTCTGAAGACAAGTAAACAGTCAGCGATTAATTAAGAATACTAATTACAAGCAACAGGACAAAAAAACGACAGTAGAACAAATTAAAAAGATATGATACATTGTATAAAGTAATCAAATTGTATCCTTCAGAGCAGCTGCTTCAAACTACACATAACTATATCTTATGAATGATTTTTAACCCCTTAATATAAGCATAACTCGTGTTTAGGACAAACTGGATTATGCACTTGCCCCGCAGCAGCTCACTCTGTGTCCTCCGCTATTTTTCAGATGTGCTCGCATCAATATAAACATTGCCTCATACCAAACGGCTTATAAAAATGTATCAATATTGTACAAACTCAATATACTGCCCAGCCCTAGTTTAAAATGAACAAAATTGTATTCCTTTGGGGGTAGCACTGTGTGGTATGACCAGAAATCTGTTTTTTATTTTTTATTTTTATATAGATTCTGTAAATTTCACAGTGTATCATTTCTCTAGTGGCTTACAAATATAAATTAACTAAAAACTGTGATAATCAAATCAATTTATAAAACAGTTTAGTTAAAGGAATGCATTTTAAAGATACATTTTTTGGCATGTTTATGAAATATTGTGATTTGATTTATTGTCCATATTACTAATTTGACAGAAAAAAAAAATACAATTTGAAAATGTATCTAAAATGGCCATAGCATCGGTACTGAAGAGCTGATGGTGTTGATAATGACTGAATGAACACATTGCACACTAAACATAAAACAAACACACAGTTACTTGTGGTGCTTTTCCACTGCGTGTTACAACTCGTCCCGGCTCGTTTTGCGTTTCCACTGCAGTTCAGTACCGCTTTAGAGTGGGCGGGATTATTCACATGTCGTTATAGTTGCGCCGCCTCTACTGCCGCGACTCCTGAAAAACTTTCTCATTCCGCGTGGCCCCATCAAGCTCTCGCTGGATCCGCTCCTCTGCTATCAACAAGAGGAACGTCTGTACTTCCGCAACAGACAACAAAACATTTTGGTTGTTAAAAAAAGGTGCGCTCGTTCAAAACAGTTGCGTTCGATTCTACGCTGGCTGTGCTGATTTAAATCTAGCGGTTCTCCCAGTGGAAAACCCCCCAAAAGCGAACCGTACCGAGCCGTACCATGCAGTGGAAAAGCGCCATTGGTGTCTTTTACTATCTATTTTTATTTGGGCTTGACTTTGACATTTTTTTGGTCCCCCCTTTCTGATTTTTGTCAATTTATTGTTATTAATTGTAGGCCTGATGGAAGTGAAAGAGGAAAGCCAAGAACTGTATGAAGTTGAGGACAACCACTATTTCCAGACACCTGAAAATTTGATAGCTGAAGAAAAACCTTTAACTGACTATCAGTGTGAAAATCTTTCACAAGCAGGACGCCTTAAAGATCCCATTAAAAGTCATACCAGAAGGAGGCCTTTCACATGCCATCAATGCGGAAAGAGTTTCGCAAATAGAGGGCAACTTAATGTTCACAAAAAAATTCACTCTGAAGAGAGACCTTTCACTTGCCTGCAGTGTGGAAAGAGTTTCACAAATAAAGAAAAGCTTAAGTGTCACATGAAAACCCACGCTAGAGAGAACCTTTTCTCGTGTTATGAGTGTGAAATGAGTTTCACTAGCAAACTAGCTCTTCAGAATCACGTAAAAACTCACTCTGGAGAGAGGCCTTTCCCGTGCCACCAATGTGAAAAGAGTTTCGATCATAAAGGGCTCCTTAATATTCACACGAGGAGTCACACTGGAGAGAAGCCCTTCGTGTGTCCTCAGTGTGGAAAGAGGTTTATTCATAGAGGACATCTTAACGATCACTTGAGGATTCACACCGGAGAGAAGCCTTACACATGCACTCACTGTGGAAAGTGTTTCACACATCAAGCAAGCCTCTCCTGGCACATGAGAACTCACACTGAAGAAACTCTTACGCGTTACATGAGAATGCACCCTGAAGGGAATCCTTTCAAATGCCATCAGTGTGGAAAGAGTTTCCTTCATAAAGGACACCTTAATGATCACTTAAGAGTTCACACTGGAGAGAAACCATTCACATGCCCTCACTGTGGAAGGAGTTTCAGTCATAAAGGATACTTTCATGTTCACTTAAGGATTCACACCGGAGAGAAGCCGTTCGTGTGCCATCAGTGTGGAAAGAGTTTCACACATAAAGGAAGCTTGAAGTGGCATATGAGAATCCACACTGAAGGACTTTTCAATTGCAATGAGTGCGGGAAGAGTTTCGCGTATAAAAGGAAACTTCAGATTCACAGAAGAATTCACACCGAAGAGAACCCTTTAACTTGCCTCCAGTGTGGAAAAAGATTCACATGTAACAAAAAGTTTAAGTGTCACATGAAAACTCACTCTAAAGTCAATCCTTACTCATGCAATCAATGTGGAAAGCGTTTCAATCAAAGAGGACACCTGAATGAACACATGAGAACTCACACCGGAGAGAAGCCGTTCACGTGCCATCTGTGTGGAAAGAGCTTCAGTCAGAAAGGAACCTTTAACATTCACCTAAGAATTCACACCGGAGAAAGGCCGTTCACGTGCCATCAGTGTGGAGAGAGATTCAGTAAGAAAGGAACCTTGAATGTTCACCTGAGATCTCACACTGCCATCAACCTTGCATGCCATCAAAGTGCGCAGAGTTTAATTCAAAAAGCGCACCTTAATGATCATATAAGAATTCACATTGTAGACAGGCCATTCACATGCCATCACTGCAAAAAGAATTTCATTCATAGAGGACACCTTAATGATCACCTGAGAATCCACACCGGAGAGAAGCCTTACGCGTGCCAACAGTGTGGAAAGCGTTTCACACATAAAGGAAGCCTTACGTGGCACATGAGAACTCACAATGAGGAGGAAGTTTTCGCATGCCACCTACATACCTCTTTGAGTTTTGAAAGTAGCGGAGACAGCAGCACTGAATAAAGCCGCACATTCCAGCTTTCTGCGATTCTGATGCTGCCTCGTATTCTGTAAAACGAAAGACCGCTTATGGACACACAAATCGGATATGAACAGTTGCGATACACTGTGTGGACAGTCAGTTATTCAAATCAGATTCCATCCGGATATGCACAAAATCGGTCAGTTATTGAAATCAGATTCGAATCCGGATATGCACAAAATCGGATTTGGGCTGACAGTCTGAATGAGGCTTAAGTGTTTTCCCTGTGTTTAGTTTTTTCTTATGGTTACCAATTATGATGACCTGTCTTCTCATTATCCTGTGTGCATTTAAGCCCTCTGTTTAGTTCAGTTCATTGTCCTGTATTGTCATTTCTAATTCTTGTAAAGCTGTTACTTCTCTCCTGTGCCTTAGTTTGAGTAAATGTTTGATTACCTTC